ATTCATAAATTCTAAATTCATAAGTTGTCTAAAACGTCATAGTGTGACAGGGCCTTTAGGCGCAGCGTAAAGAGAAAAACTGTTCAACAACAACCTATAGCTCCTCCTGAAAGTGAAATTTAGGCAAAAACTAAAAAGAGTAACCCTTTGTAAAAACTTTTAAAGCKATTTAGTTGCAGTGCTTGCCCACTTTGTCTGTTTGACATGTGGTGAATTTTAACTTTTTGAGATTTGCGACAGGAAGTTCTCCTAAGTGCAGAAAGAGGTGGTCCAGATATTAATTAGGGCACAGGTCAAGCACCAGWTTTCTTATCATAGAACTCCTTGGCATTTATTGTCAACCGTTTGTGTTCATGAAGATAAATGCAAAGATTTGACATTGTACTATCCCTGTTTAAACAGTTGGTAACGTGTAAGGTTTTTTTTTTTTTTTATCATAATGACATAAATTCTCCACCTAATCTACCACAGCAGGAAGAAATACACAGTTTAATAATACTATATGACAGTTTACAGAAGAAATGGACCATAAAGTGGCAACACATCCAAAGGCAGTATATTGCTGTTATTTTTCAGAACAGATCTTAGCAGTGTTTCATAACCCATCATAGCCATTTTTACTGCTTGTATGTGAAACCTCAGAGGCCACAGGCTTCCTGACAAATCCCCAACAAGAGGAAGCTCGCTATCTCCCTCGCACGTAAATTACAGTGTTTTTTTTTTAAAGTTGGTTGCTTAGGAGGTCCCTGTGGGATTCCTGCAACAATGGCCCCTGTCACAACCCCCCTCCGACTCCCCCAACACCTCCTCTCCCTGCTCCCTTCCCTTCTTGTCCTCACCTCGCCTCCCACCTTTCTCCTGCTCTGATGAGCACTCTGGGATCTCAGCGGCAGTGACACGGGCTTTTATGTGCGAGGGAGCTGACGAATGAGTGTCACAGCCCTCCAGGGAGCACGGCCGGACTGGCAGCGAAATAATGCAGGAAGACGCGCGAGAGACACACTTTTTGCAGACACACACACACACACACACACACTCAGTGAGCCCACTTCTATAACATACACCAGCACCTGCTGCCAAAGCAATCTCGAGCTGCTTTGATTGTGTTTAAATGTGCCATCAACGGGAACGTTTTATGGATGCGCTTTCATTTTTTAAAGTACTTTCACTGCTCGGTGGCTACGGGTCGTATCGTTGCGTTACTTCTAGGATGAAACGCAGCCAGGTTGTTTTTTTGATTTCATTCATATGTTAGTGTATTTCATCATATAAGAAATATAAGATCAAACGTGTGGGGCTCCATCTGTTTCTGCAAAGAAAAGCATCCTTTGTTGCTAAGAAAAGCCTCCTATTAAAGGCACTGTGTGGAGGTAACAGCCAATTGCTCATTAAACAGCCATTAAAGGTCTGTGACTCACAAATCCCTACGCTCAGGGTGCTCCCTTCAGTCATTCACTGCAGTTAAAACAAATATAGAATCTGCCATCTTTCATTATCATCAGCTTTTATGCCTGTTTAAACCAGAGCGTTTCATCCTGCGTCTGATTCCGTTACCATTATTTGCTTTAGGGGAGTGCAAGTACAACTTCCAGGCTTGGGGCGAGTGTGACCTGGCGACGGGCAAGAAGAACAGGACGGGGATTCTGAAACGAGCGCTCATGGATGCGACCTGCGCCACCACCGTCACGGCAACTAAGCCATGCGGGAAAATKCCCAAGACCAAGCTGCAAGGTAAGCCGAGAAAAATCACCGGAACCGTCATCGGACTCGTTGAGCCTGTTGGCGACAATGAGAATTCCCATGAGTCATGTTGACGAGTCACGTCTACTGTTGGATGTTGGTTGAATGTTATGCATTATGTTCCTTTAACAAGTGAAAAAAAAAGATCAAGTGACTGATTTGGACATTATGAATCTTAGCTGAGAGGTTTTGCCCAATCAACTTTGCAACACTTGGTTGAATCCGAGCAATTTAACACAATCACCACCTCACTGTTTAAACTACTATTAGAAGCAGTATGAAAATCTTATGGCGCCACTAATTTCTTCRGTTTCCGAGGAGCAGGGTTCTACCTTAAAATCTTTTTCAATGGGTATGATCAATTACTCAGTGGGAGTTCAGAATTCAGTAAAAAGTTCACAGAAATACCTCCAGAAATCGTGAAAAATGACAGATACAATTTTTAAAGGACTTCCAGAATACTTGCAACCTGTACAGGGTGTAACCCGCTCCTCGCACTGTGACTGCTGGATTTGGGCACCAGTGACCCCCGCGACCCTGAAATGAATAAGCATGTACAGATAATGGATGGACGGATGGATTTCCAGAATGACTCTTGAGAAGCAAAATCTAAATAAGTGATCTATCTTATGACTTTTTCCAAGTTTTGTAAATAACCAAAACAAATTTTAAAGAGCATTTTGTTCAAACAGGAGACATTCTTTACCGTTTTTCCATTTTCAATGGTGCCACATTTGTAAGGGACATGCATTAGTTGGTCGAGCAACAGAGCTGAGTATTTGGGTTGTGCACATGAAAAATTTGCCAAATCTTCTCTGTCAAACGGCTTATTCTGCTGTTGCTATTGACACTTTTCTTGAGCTTCTGGTACCTCCAGATGCTGCCAGTCAGGTGCAGATATACGATTTATGGTGACACTTTCTTTTACGGTACGCTTATTGTCATGTAATTACAAGGTAATAAAAATGGTAATTAAATGTAATTACTACTTTATTACCATGTAATTACGTGGTAATTAGGGTACAAAAGAAAAACTACTGTTAGTAAAACTAACTTTATTGGGCAACTACAATCAAATTACTATTCAGTAGTAACGGCTGTGGTGTAGTGGTAGAGCAGCCGGCTTTGGGACCCGCAAGTCACAGGTTTGACTCCCCACCATGCCCACATGCCGTTTGTGTCCTTGGGCAAGACACTTCACCCCTAATGCCTCTGATGTGTGTCCCATCAGTGTATGAATGTGATTGGCACTGATTAGTCTCCATAGATGATTGTACATGTTAGCTTTGTAGAGACCTGATAGAGTGCTGAGTGAATGGGTAAATGAGGACACAGATTGTAGTGTAAAGTGCTTTAAGTGTCCTGGACGGATAGAAAAGTGCTATATAAGTACAGTCCATTTACCATTTACCATTTAACGCAACACTATATTTATAATGAAAAGAATGCAACTAAATTTTGGGGTTAGTGGTTAATTGCAATAAAACATAACTTTAAAACTGTCCAAATTACCTACTACTTACTTAGGTGTTACATAGTGAATTGTAATACATTACCAGGTAAGGGCTACATTATTGCAGACAATTAATTACATAGTAAAATTGCACCCTAATTACAACATAATTACATGGTAATAAGGTATTAATTACATTTACATACATTTTTTATTACCTTGTAATTACATGGTAATAAGGGTACCGTAAAAGAAAGCGTTACCCGATTAATTGCCAAGAAGCATTGTTCCAACAAAGAAATAATCTAACAAACATCAATTTCAGTTTAGTTATTCTGATATGGAATTATTTTATTTTCATTTTTTAAGTTTTATCTTATAGAACCAATCAAGGAAACAGCTTTTTAAGCAATAGCCTGATTACATTTGAGTCTGTAAAAATGCCTTTTTGCATTAGGGACCTACTGTATTTTATTTATTTACTTTGTCTCTAATTATCAAGATTAATGTAAGTGGGCATTGTTGAGAAAATATGAATGTAGTCAATATATTGATCCATTGGGTGGAGATGATCATCTCTACTCCTAATTGGGCTTTTCTGAAAGCAGACAAGAGACCCAAACATGACTCTGGGTGAAAAGAAAGACCACAAACCCAGACCAGTGGTCATTCTGTATATTGTGGGAGTTTCAGAGAAACTAAAACATTTATTTTCTAAACATGACATCCCAGTGGTTTTCAAACCCCAAAACACATTATGGCAAAAACTGGTTCACCCCAAAGATTCAGTCCCCCGGCACAGACAGAGTAATATTGTGTATGCTGTTACAGTAAGTGTCAGGACGACTGTGATCAGTTATACATTGGGGAAACAAAGCAGCCACTGTTCAAAAGGATGGTCTAACCCTAAGAGCTACATCATCAGGCCAGAATTCTGCAGTTTACACTCATCTACAGGCCAAAGGTCACTCTTTCAGAGATGAAGATGTTCTCATCCTTGATGGAGAGAAACACTGGTTTGAGAGAGGAGTAAGGAAGCCATCTTTGTGAAGAAAAGCTGTCCATCATTAAACGGGGGTAGAGGCCTCCGTGTCCAGTTGCCCCCGTCTTACAATGTTGTTATTGTGAGTGTGACTCAGCTTTCAATGAACAGTAAGCAACCATCAAGGCTTTAACTATCGRTTGTTAGGCTGATGGTCCTGTTTTGCATGTGAACAACCAGTTTTGATTGTCACCTTGGAGAAAAAAAATTCAATAAAAAAGAACCCGTCCAGACAACCTGACTCAACTTTCTTAGATATCTGCTTTTGTTTCCTCACGTTTCAACTACTGTAAATTTAAAGTTGCCTTTTAAAAACCAGCTCTCGATCATCTTCAGCTTGTACAAAACAAGACGTCAATGCTCTGAACCAAAACAAACGGAATACACGTGACGGCGTTTTAATCGTCTCTTCATTAATTAYGAGTTTCCTTCAGATGTAATTTTGAGGTGCGTGCGTTAACTTTTCAATCATTTATCTTCCCTCGCTCATAAAAGCCCTAATCAAACGAAAATCAGCCTTCAATTGAATCCCCAGTAAAACAGCAAYAAGTAAGCAGCGAGATTGTTGGAGTAATGAGGCTTTTATTGGATTCTGCAATCACCCTATAAACATCAAAATGAAATCTCTTACACATTAAAATAATTAAATGGCTSTCTCACTGTTTAACGCTACCAGTAAAAACAGTTCATTTTATCCACATATTTTTTGCATCAAAAAACGTCATGAATCTTATTACAAACCAAACACCATTGTGAAATGGAACATATTTATTGTAACATGCAAAATTCACCTTTCAGCTTTTTAGTTTTGTATTTTAAAACAGACTTACCAAAATGCACCATCCTCAGTAGATAAATGTATTGCACTGTTTTTTGTCTTGAAGCTTTAGCTGCGGTTTCATTGGTTTGGATCAAAAGCAAGACTCAGGCAGAGACAAACTGACAATTTACAAGAAGAAAGACTCCAGGCCCTTTTTTTTTACACTGTCAGCTCATTGTAAACAGCCACATAGAATGTTAGATCAGTACGTTTGCTGTATTTATTATAGCTGAAGGGATGTTTACCACTTGAATGTCTCTGTTTCTCCTGCTACACTGCTGACAAGCTTGTAAATTTTGTTCTGTTTTGAGTGTTTTTAAGGGAATCAAAGGGGGGTAAAAACAAGGTGCAGCTACATTTTGTTCTAACAAGAATGATTTAGCATCTTTCTAAGTATCAAGGTGAAAATAAACTTTTATCAACTTTCTTATGATTGCTGTGTGAGTTCAGTYGACTCTCATCTTGTCTCCTGGTACACCGCTCACTGATTGCATCTTTGCTGATTCCAACAAATGCCTGCAAATGATTTAATCTCAGGCGGTGTCGTCTGCGATTTGCATTCATATTCAATTCACCATCAGTCCGCAGGAAATCCTCCTACTTAAGTGTGAATTTTAGCAGTGAATGACAGGATTAAAGCCAGGCTGAGAAAGTTAACTAACTATTCAGCTGTAATTACAGGCTTTTAGCCTTTCTGAGTTGTGTCAAAGTCACTGAACTCTGGGAGACCGTTGCCTTCTGGCATTCTCTGGCAAATGGAGAGGTATCAGAAATTTTGAGTGGCAACAAGAATTGACCTAATGGGGAAAAACGGAATCATTCAAGCCCACATGGAATACATTACTGTCTGCTGACAAACTAAAACCGGTCATAAGAAGGGCTCGATTCCCCACATCAATTCCTCTTGTTAATTTTGCAAACAGGGATGCAAACGACCCAGCATGAATGTCCCATTGTCTAAACAAAATGATTATGAGTCTGGAACGGTTGCCAGTGACCACAAACTGCTGCCTTATCACGCTCAGCAGATGACATGTGTACTCGCAGGGTTTGCACAAAGAGTTTGCCTAAACTTACTGTCATTTCCTCAAATGACCGCAGCCGGCATTGACCCATAATTTCAAAGAWAAGTCAATGTAAGCACTTCTAAGGCAATCTGTGAAACTCTAAACTATCTCATGTTTTTCTAATCTGTCATTGTCTCAAGCTTCACGATAAATAGATCAGTAATAATCTTTGACAAGTCTGCAATGCAGCTATTTTTCGTAAAGTACTGTATATATGGGTGATTCCACTTCACTTCAAGCTCGGCTCGTCTACCAGACATSTGGGAGCTTCAGGGTTCTGCTCCTAAGACTGCATTCTTCTACCGAGAATAAATTATTTATTCTCAATGATACCAAATAAACCTTCACCTGACTGGTTTAAATCACTGGACTCCTTCATTTCTAAATTCCTGTGGAAAAACAAAACTCCTCGTATTAGCCTAAAATCATTAAAGAAAACTGAAGTTTCAGGAGGGCTAGAGCTTCCAAACTTT